GTCCGAGAGGATCCCAGACGCCCCTTAATCGACTAAGCTACGACATAGTTAAAGGATTGCAACCGGGAGTTCAACTATTCCTACCACGGGTCCTGCAGTCTCTCCGAGACACAAACCAGGTTTTTACACAAATCTCCCATGCACCCGAGCTCTGCCAATAAGCTATTCTACCTCTTCGCCCGTACTTCACTACACGCAGATGTCACAATTGTGTGATGCATCAAATGAACAAATCTACAAGGGCCGTGAAGAAGGTTCGAACCTACATCCGAGAGGATCCCAGACGCATCGTAATTGACTAAGCTATGACATGGTAAAAGTTGAACTCCTGGTTGCAATTCTTTTACCATGTCGTAGTTCAGTCAATTAAGGTGCGTCAGAGTTCCTCTCAGACGTAGGTTCGAATCCTCATCACGGCCCTTGTGAATTTGTTCATTTGATGTATCACACTATTGTGATTTCTGTGTGTAATAATGAAAGGGCGAAGAGGTAGAATAGCTTATTGGCAGAGCTCGGGTGCATGGGGGGAATTGCGTTAAAACCGGGTTTGTGTTTTGGAGAGACTGTAGGATTCGTGGTAGGTCAAGTTGAACTCCCGGTTGCAATTCTTTAACCATGGCGTAGCTCAGTCGATTAAGGCGAATCTGGGATCCTCTTGGAAGTAGGTTCGAATCCTCATCACAGCCCTTGTGGATTTGTTCATTTGATGCATCACACTATTGTGATTTCTGTGTGTAATAAAGAAAGGGCGAAGAAGTAGAATAGCTTACTGGCAGAACTCAGGTGCATGGAGGAATTGTGTAAAAACCTGGTTTGTGTCTCGGAGAGACTGTAGGATCCGTGGTAGGTCAAGTTGAACTCCCAGTTGCAATTCTTTTACCTTGTCGTAGCTCAGTCGATTAAGGCTCGTCTGGGATTCTCTCGGACGTATATTCGAACCCTCATCACGGCCCTTGTAGATTTGTTCATAATCTAACACAATTTCTAAGTGCAGTCTCACAGAAGTCAAAATTTTCTGTGCAGTGGGTCACCAGGAGTCAGGTTTCGTGCTGATTATCCCAGGGTGTTTAATGCAGCTTGAAGCTGTTGGCCGACACTTTGGTTCTCATGCTGGATGGGGTGACTTCATGCGTAACATTAGATGCAGATTTGGAAGTGAGTCAGTGGATTTATGGAACAGTTTCTTGAGTAATATAATAGAGACAATTTAATTGGAAGGATTCTGGCGTAGGATGGATAAATATTTGACAGTAATTTGTTGTATACACTGGAACTGTCACGCATGTGACAGAAGGAATCTGTTGTCTATTTTATTTTTGTAGTTAAGGCGTTGGATAGGAATAGTGCACCCACTATTCCTTCCACAGGCTTCATTGAAACATAAAATTTAAATGTTAAGCGAGTTACGTAACAGTGCTCAGCACCATTGAAGGAAACTTCGTGGGATGTTCTGCATGATATGATACTTATAATATTAACTTTACAGTGCATATTGTTATGCCATAAAACAGCAGTAGCACCATGAAGTTTTCCTTATCTGACCATAATAAAGACCAATATGCATTTTTATGAAGGTTTTTAAATTCATACTATACTAGTCTGTACTCCTGCAGAACTGTATCCCTCACACCATAGACCTTCAGAGAACAAACGTATGTTTAGTGGTTGAATTCGTCATAGATAAACTTTTGACTTTTAAAATATTGTACACAATTACTAATTTTGACAATTAGTACTTCAAGCCTTTCGATATGACCATAGTTTGAAAGACACCAGCAGGTGTTGGGGTTTCACCTCTCTATTCTTACTCTGGGGTGAGCAATAGTTATGCTCAAGGTCACTCACCGTAGCCCTGCGGGTCTTCACTCGATCCTCATGGCGCCACTGCACGCCAGGAGAGTCTCCCAGTCAATCTTAACGGCCTTTGATTAAGAAAGAGTGAGAACACGACTCGTTCACTTGACTGTCGTGTGCCCTCCCCAACAATCGGGCTCTACGGTTAACCACAAGGTCGCCAACTGGTGTTTTAGGTGGCCAGTAACACCATCTGTGGACTGGTGGAAATAGTGGTAGCCTTGGCAAGGTCACGCTCAAAAGATCAGGAATCAGGCAGGTACTTACTGTATCACTCTATGCTTTCCAGTATCATATAGCCACAAGATCAATGGAGGAGATGATAAAAACACAATGGTAATTTTGTATTTTACTTAAAATGTATGAAAGATGTCACAAGGCCAAACAATAACAAATAAACCAACTGATCCGGACGCGGCCGGTAATTCCCATGGTTAGTATGCGACCACTAAGTGGCAACACCTGCCCTCCTTGTCAAATGTCAAGAACAACTGATCGCCTGGCCTCCGCGCGCGAAAGATTATTGCTTGTTTTCAGATTCACGCGCGCTGTTTCTTTAAGTTCTCCAATATTACTATAAACTCGCCCACTCGTTATTGGCACAATAGACCGTATTACTTAGTTACACTGTACTCAGGCTCAAACAGTCTTTTCTACAATCAATGCTATAATGACTCACTGTAATGGCTTTACATTGTTCTTCACTCAACAATATATTATGAACTATTAACACTGGAGTTTTCAGTACTTTCTCTCGTGGGCGATAACGCAATAATTCACTGTACTCACAAATGACTAATCACTGCATGAACATAGCCTATATAATGTAGATACATCCAATATCAATACATGGAAAATAAATGGTTTCTGGGCACACAGCCTAACTTCCAAATACTGGCATAATATTATATATAATTTACCACTTTATGTGCATATCAAAATCTATAGAAAGATATACACAACACAGTAAATTTATCACTTGTTCCTGGTGCCTGTACACACCAATAATCAACATGAATATTACAAGTACTCTTGATAGTACTGTCTAGCACACTGGTGCTTTACCGTGACATGGGTGAGACTTGCTCACGACATATAAAATCCTCAGGCTAGATAATATAGCCGAATAACATAGCTAACTAAAGGGGAATGGGGAGGGAACTAGAAACACCTACTTCACCCTATCCTCCGATGAGAGTCGAGATGTAGCGCCTGGTCCTCGTGTCGGGAACGCCCCCACACACACGTCGTCATGTCCTACCAGAGCCTCTCGTCGTCCCACCGTTTAGCGCATCGTCTCCGTGCCCTCTTCACTGCAGGTCCGTCCTCCTTCTTAACTTCTTGAAGGTTGGAGTCGGTCTCCTGGCTGTCGTCTTCTCCCATCAACGGCTGTCGCCTACGTCTCAGCTACAGTCGTCCGGTTTCCCCAAATAGTCCTCTCTTCCTCAGCTACCCAGAGACTCTGTCAGCCACTACGCTGTCACGAACTGGTGAACTGCCACAGACGTCACATACGTCACTGCACGGCTTCACTGCTTCTTGCACAGTACCTGACTGGAGCACTTGTTGCTCAAATAACCGTCAATTCCCTCTTCTGGTTCAACACATGAAATAGGGAAGACTTCTCAGAGTACTGGCGGACTTCAGGTGACGCGTAAATCCACGGGAACGGGAAACAACTGTCCAACTGACAGGACCGATCGTCGCACATCCGACCTCTATGACGTGTCGTGTCTGACTGATGGCGCCAGCTCGGCGCGCTGGCCGGACCCCCTTCCTTCGTGACGTCACTTTTGCCACGGGAGGTTTTCATTGGCCCCCGGTGCCACACTGCTGTCGGTGACCAATCTGGTGCCACTGACGTCACACGGTTTTAGCGGGAAATCAGGGAGGCAAGCGCCATCTTGGCTCCCTAAAGGGCCTATACCACAGGCCAGAATATTACTATTTCACAAATTTCTCGGCTCTCCGAGAACACTTCACTCTCTCCCATATATCAAATTGTAGCCTGCAACGTAGAGAACGCTTGGGAAAAGTAGACATGACTCTTACTGCAGGCGTGGGAGAATTATAAGGGGGGGAACACCGTCACACAGGCCAAACATTATCACACAGTACAAGCAATGTGACACGAATATTAATATTAATCTAATGAGAAAGGTCTCTAATCCCATCCATATATGACGATAATCTCTTTCTAGAGAGATTGAGCCTGCTCTTCCCTGCCTCAAGTTACGTCCAGTTAACAAGTATAAGATGCTACGTTCAAGATACGTCACCGGTAGCACAAAACGTTTTGACCAGGAGGCAAAACGTACCCAAGATCCCCCCTACTCCACACACCCTCCACACCGGCTTGTCGTCAACCAGCAAACTACCGATTCCAGCCTGCCTGCTCCTGACTGGTGACTCGCCGACCGCGCACCTGCACACTGCACCTCCGTGCCATCTACCTGAATCGACATCGGAGCCCTGACCAGCTATCAACTTCAGAATATTCTTTGTGCTCTTAGAGTTGACATCTCTCTCTGGCATACTAAGCTCACTGGCTTGTATACGAAGGGAGGTCTCAGCCATAGCCGATATTCTCAGCACCATTTTACTATTTCACCTTTATACTATTGTGTCTCACATTGTCTTTGCATTTATCTTTGTCATTTTATTGTACTTTTCATTCCCCGAGATTTGTCTTTATTTTTATTTATGTTTAAAATAAATATATTAAAGTTTCATTGTTCATACTTTGTGTTTTACGTGTTCCTCCCTCTAACTTACCACAGACAACAGGCAAGCAGTCTATCTTTTTTTTGTAAGTGTGACCAGGCATTGACACCTGCCATTGGAAGACTGCCGAACATCCATACTCCAACACTTTCCCATCACAATTTTTTACTGATATCACACTGACTCCATTCCTCTTAATTAAATCTTTAAGGCACCTAACCTTGAGACAAGTTAAGGTACACTGATGACTTGAACTTACCAGGTCAAGTGTCACATATTCTTACCTTCTTGGTTCATACCTTACTGGCTGTCACAACACTTCATTGCTGTGAAGTTAATCACAAGTGTCGGGTACACCCGCATGGCCTAACAATTCCTGACAAAAACAAATAAAAAACGACATGCTGTTAAGGGAAAATTACCTGTGTGTTATCAGTGTGAAGCAGCAGGTGGTTTAGTGGCAGAGGACGTACCAGTAGAGGGAGGGGCTTGGTGTGAGGGCCACACCGGCCGTGAGGTGGGTCTCGTACTTCAGGAAGCAGTAGTCTGTCAAGCAAATCCTCTAGCGTAATAGTCGGTCGTGTTGGAGCATTAATATAATATTTGTTTTATATGTTGTTTAATTATTTACAAGCAGTACCCGACCATGCATTGCTGTGGCTCAGCAACGCATGTGCGTTGCTGAGCCACAGCAACCTTCCCTGTCCCCAGTCTCTTCGGCCTCACAACCATTCCCCACTCCACTATCCCTCTTCCTTCCCACCATGCCCCACTCCGCTATCCCTTTGTACTCCCCACCATTCTCCATTTCCCCATTCTTTCGTCCCCACCATCCCAAATTTCCCTGTCCCCTCGTCCTTCCCCACCATTACCCACTCCCTTGTCCCATCGTCCTCCCCGCCATTTCTCACTTCCGTCCCCTCGTCATCCCCACCATTCCCAACTCCCTCGTCCGATGTCTTCTCAAATGGTCTGATGTTCCCATCAGAAAATTGGGAACATCAAGTGATCTGATGTTCCCATCACTGAAATATAAGGGAAACACAGTTAAAAAATTCAATGAAAATATGAAAAAATAATGGAATAAACTATACTCACGAAATGAATGGTATGGTAAACAACACAGCTCAATTCCAACGCAATTCAAACAAAATAATTAAATCAAAATGAAAATAAATAAATAAAATAAAAATGTATAAAAATTCAATTTATCAATGCAATCAAAAACAGTGAAATTAAAATGTGACATATTTAGTATAGAATGTGTCTTGCTCTTACATGCAAAAGATGGCATTGTTTTCCAAGAAAAGCATAGTTTTACCTGTCACAGGTGTGGCATCTATACTTATACTTATTAAATGAACGGCATGGTAAATAACACACCTCAATTCCAACACAATGTCACACAAAATAATTAAATAAAAAAAATATTTAAATAAAAATCTATGAAAATAAAATTTATCAATGAAATCGGAAACATTGAAATGGAATTTGTGACATATTTAGTATAGCTGCATGTTGCTATTATGTGCAACAGATGGCGCTATTTTTAAAAAACACATGTTTTTATCTGTCACAGGAGTGGCATCTATATAGTAGGTATATAAAAAGATGCGCCTATTCGAAAGCAACGTTGTGTCAAAATTTCAAAGCAATCGGTGAAGAACTTTCGGAGATTACAGTGTGTGTTGCGCTTACGTCCAACAGATTGCGCTGCTTTAAAAGAGAAAGGCATGTTTTTTTCCTGTCACAGGTTAGGCATGTATATAGTAGATATATAAAAATATATTATTATATGCCTATTGAATATATGCCTATTCGAATGCAACGTTGCGTCCAAATTTCAAAACAATCGGTAAAGAAGATTCGAAAATTTTCTTCACATGAAAAACACAGTTTTTCAGAAAAAGCATGTATTTGTTTTTACCGTCTCAGACGTGACATCTATAAAGTATGTATATAAAAACCTGCTCGGATGCGAATGGAACGTTGTGAGAAAATTTCAAAGCAATCGGTGAAGAACTTTCGGAGATTAGCGGTCATACACAAACGAACATTATTTTTAACATCTTTGTATTTATATAGATTAATATTTGTAATATTAATATCTATTATCGCTGATTTAGGGGACCTGACAGCTGAGTGGACAGCGCTCGGGATTCGTAGTCCTGAAGGGTCCGGGTTTGATCCCCGTTGGAGGCGGAAGCAAATGGGCAGAGTTTCTTTCACCCTGATGCCTCATTCACCTAGCAGTAAATAGGTACCTGGCAGTTAGACAGCTGCTACGGGCTGCTGCCTGGGGATGTCTGTGTGTGAAAATTAAGATTAAGGACTTGTCCGAAGCGCTATGCATGCTAGTGGCTGCACAAGAATGTTAACTCTTGTATGTATAAATAAATAAAATAAATAAATAAATGTGACACGCGAGGATCGTCATCAGTATGTGGGCCAACTGCTCTCCGGAAAAGGTGTCGTACTGCAGTACACAAGCTGCCTAGTTCTACCAGCAACCTGTCCTCTACTCTAGTCCATTACATCCAGCGGGTGTAATGGACACAAACGCATTCACAAATTTGTACATGCCGTTCAGTCAAAATGGGAATTTTCTCAAATATAAATTAATATTATAAGATATTAGCATATTGTGCATATATAGGCATAGGTTAGGTGTTTAGGTCCTGTTGGCGATTATTTGCATTTGTAGTACGTGGGTGAAGCATTTATAGCGTTGTAGTTCAAACAAAATTTTTCAGTGAAGCACGTGTTCCGGACGTGTTCGAACGTGAACAGTTGTGAGTCGTGTGTAAACCGTTTTTCAATCATAAGCAGCGGGTTTAGAGGTGCATGGAATCACTTTTGGATCTTTGTTTGGAGGACGGGATGCTATCAGACATATATATATTCACAGCTGCTGAATCGTCATAGAGCACTACTCCGTCCCTATCACCTCGATCTGCACCTATCTCGTCTTACTGTTTGCCCTACACTAGAGAACTAGTCAGACACTACATAACACAGATTGAACGGGTTTCACATTTAATATCTCCTTGAAGTGTCTGGGAACTTAGGTCTCCCAAGGTCAGTTCCTAAAGTTATAAGTAGCTACCTGAAGAGGGTGGTGTCTGGCCATCCCTCTGGGGTTCAAACTCATAACAAGATAATAATAAAATGTGTAGCCAAACCCACATTCTCTCGTAGCCAGAACGTAGGTGTAGAAGGCACCTCTCTGGAGTGATGGTGTTTGTGTACCACTAACCATGGTGTCAACAGCTGTACACACAACAATGGGCCGAACATCTGTCACCTGTAACTAAGTGTAACCGAGAGCTTCACCTGCCTCTTAAGATGCAAAACCCTGACCTAAAATTAACATACATCTGCTAGCTATGTTCCACTTTCTAACGAAAGAGTTTCAATGGGAAAAAAATTGCCTATTGGTGGAAAACACCATTGACTACGGTATAACGAAAAAGAGAGAAGATGTGGTCTCTTTCTTAGATTTAAAAGATTAAACTGTTTGTTCTAAGAGCGGTTTTAAGAATCTTTAAGAAAAGTCGGCGGCCTGCAGCAGTGCTCCAGACAAAATTATTCTATAATTAGTGTGCAACACTGTAGCTACTAGCAGCTCCCAGAGTGGTGGTGTGCAACACTGTAGCTCCCAGCAGCTCCCAGAGTGGTGGTGTGCAACACTGTAGCTACCAGCAGCTCCCAGAGTGGTGGTGTGCAACACTGTAGCTACCAGCAGCTCCCAGAGTGGTGGTGTGCAACACTGTAGCTCCCAGCAGCTCCCAGAGTGGTAGTGTGCAACACTGTAGCTCCCAGCAGCTCCCAGAGTGGTGGTGTGCAACACTGTAGCTACCAGCAGCTCCCAGAGTGGTAATGTGCAACACTGTAGCTCCCAGCAGCTCCCAGAGTGGTGGTGTGCAACACTGTAGCTACCAGCAGCTCCCAGAGTGGTGGTGTGCAACACTGTAGCTCCCAGCAGCTCCCAGAGTGGTGGTGTGCAACACTGTAGCTACCAGCAGCTCCCAGAGTGGTGGTGTGCAACACTGTAGCTCCCAGCAGCTCCCAGAGTGGTGGTGTGCAACACTGTAGCTACCAGCAGCTCCAAGAGTGGTGGTGTGCAACACTGTAGCTCCCAGCAGCTCCAAGAGTGGTGGTGTGCAACACTGTAGCTCCCAGCAGCTCCACGAGTGGTGGTGTGCAACACTGTAGCTACCAGCAGCTCCAAGAGTGGTGGTGTGCAACACTGTAGCTACCAGCAGCTCCAAGAGTGGTGGTGTGCAACACTGTAGCTCCCAGCAGCTCCCAGAGTGGTAGTGTGCAATCTTTCACGAACCAATGAACAATCACTTATATATCCATTACTCGTCAACACATACTTTAACAATAAAAAAATCTCTGCGCTTCATTTTGGGAATCCGAATGAAATGAAAAGTCAGAGATGGATAAAGACTATGGGGAGGGTCCTTAAACGACTCAGTGATTTTTTTCAGACACAGAGTATACCCTGCCAAATTCTACGGGATACATGTACAAAGTTAGCACAAAGATATCTTCATTGTTACAACAGAGGGACAACAGCCAGCTAATGAAAGGCTAATGCACCCGTCCCTCTATTTTCCAGGAATCGCGGGGCCGCCTCGAACTTCGGCCAGAACTCATTAACCTCTGGGGATGTCTAACGAGACTACACGGAAATCACCCAGAGTGGAAGAAAAAAAATTCCTCCAGAAATATGCATGTTAGCTAGGACATGAGGTAAATCCTTATATTTCATCGTGGTAAAAGCTAAATTTGCCTATCATTCCCACACACTGTAGGGTCAAGGAGGCCGTGCAATATAACGCCAACAACACACATTCCCCCCCCCCATACACTTTCCCCATCTCTAAACTCCCACACACCTTCCCCATCTCCCCCTCCCACACACCTTCCCCATCTCCCCCTCCCACACACCTTCCCCATCTCCCCCTCCCACACACCTTCCTAATCACTTCCTCCACACACCGTACCCATCTTCTCCCCCCCCTCACACACCTTCCCCATCTCTCTTCCCATACTCCTTCCCCATCTCTTCCCCCACACATCTTCCCCATCTCTGCCCATATACTCCTTCCTCATTTCTTCCCCCACACATCTTACCCATCTCTCCCCCCACACTACTTACCCATCTCTCCCCCACACACCTTCCCAATCTCTCCTTCCCACATCTTATATAATATTTTTAACACAACATGCAGTAAAAAATTAATGCTGTCCTTGTGTTAATTAAATCATAAATTAAATTAAAATAAATGTTACCCCAAAAAGAGAGCGGACGTGACAATTTTTCTTTAGAAAATGTATAACTGCAACTGTTAGGCCACGTCACTTAAAATGATCAAATTAAAAAATCTGACTTCATATTATAACTTTAAAGCATCAGTTTGCGACTGAGTATATTAAAAACCTATTCTATAAATTAAAGTAAATGATGAGTTTTCAAATATACTAAAATAAACCCTCCTATCGGGAATCAATATAATCGAATTTGGAAAAAAGCGTCCTGGCCGAGGAGGAAGGTGAGACAAGTAAGAGAGGACGTCTTGGTTGGTGGTTCGCAAGCAGTATACTATGACGTGGTTCTGCGAATGTTAGACAGCCACATTACTTCACGTCGTCTCCCAGGATAAGTGTCTTTCCTTTGATGTTAAACTTATTGTACATGAGCTCATGGTACATGTATAAATTATGGCCGTTTATGACGGAAGATGACAATAAATAAATGGTGAGCGTCTTATAACCTAAACCTTATATATATAATCTAACATAGTATGCTATATTAATCATTGCTTAAATTTAACTTATGTTTTGGCCCAATACGCAATGTTGTGTGTCGAGAGGTAACTGGTTTACGACGTAGCTGTAGTCAACGTGAGGTCTGCCACTTGTGAGATGCCATAACCACATGTGGACAGATGTCTAGCTCACGTGACTGAATTTACGTAGAGGAGTATACATTTAATTATTCTAATTAACCATTTAAATAATATGAATTTAATGTTTCAACTAACACGTTAATTCCTGTCTAGTTGAGTTTTATAATAAAACAGCCAAAGCTTGTAAGGAGTGGCAAAATCTTTATACAGTCCACTTGCTACATAAATAAATAATAATAAAATTCTACCTATATAATCTATTAAAGTAAAATAAATAAATAATTAATATAAAATTCCCCACACCCAAACACACCTCTTCCATCTCTCCCCCTAAACATCATCCCTGTTTTCACCCCCCCCACACCTTTACCGTCTCTCCCCCCCCCCCCACACACCTTCCCTGTCTATAGCCCCACACACCTTCCCCCATCTTTTCACTCACAAACTTTCCCTGTCTATACCCCACACAGTCTTTTCCCCATTCACCATCCCAATCATTTCACTCGCACACCTTCCCTGTCTCTCTCCCTCACAATGTTTACGAAGAGTATTCAGTATTTTCTGAATAATTCAATGTTAAATACATTTAACATTGTATTAATCAGAAAATACTTTACCAAATACTGTATCAAAAATGCAAATAGAACTTGTCCTTGGTTACACCAATGGGGCTTCGAGTTAGTATTAGCAAAACTTGCTTTCAGATTTTGAATGAATAATGTCTAGTTAGCCTACCCTAACCTCGCAATACACAACACTCCCCTCCATCACATACGAGAACATAAATATCTTGGTATGTGCTTCGAATTGCCCTTATTTACCTGGATAACACACATTCAACATCTTAAACAGACGACACAACCACAACTCTACATCCTAAAACCTCTCATTAACAATGGTTATGACGTTGATTTAGCCCTCGTTGAGCGTTGTATAATACGCCCTTATATACAACGCCCACGTGAGGAGTGTTGTACAGAAGCGGAGCAAAAAATGTTTCCGCTTCTATACAACCTACAATTGCAGCCAACTTGACAACACACACATGTCAGACATATGCATCCCCGCACCTACTAACCTCCACCTTCCCTTCTGACTAACCTTCCACTCCTATCCTCGGGTTTTAGGAGAAAGAGGCCTTAAAAATTTAGTCATTAGACGAGACATAATGCGTGCCAACTGACACTCTATACCACTGCACACCCGACATCTTGAGGTTATCTTGAGATGATTTCGGGTTTTTTTTTTTAGTGTCCCCGCGACCCTGTCATCGACCAGGCCTCCATCCCCAGGAAGCAGCCCGTGACAGCTGACTAACACCAAGGTACCTATTTTACTGCTAGGTAACAGGGGCATAGGGTGAAAGAAACTCTGCAAATTGTTTCTCGCTGACGCCTGGGATCGAACCCAGGACCACAGGATCATAAGTCCAGCGTGTTGTCCGCTCGGCCGACCGGCTCCCAGGCTGTACGGCTATGACATAGCCATACAGATAAAAAGATTAACCCAAAAGTTAGCCCACATATCTCCCGCTGACAGCTGAGTGGATAGCGCTTCGGATTCGTAGTCCTCAGGTTCCGGGTTCGATCCCCAGTGGAGGCGGAAACAAATGGGCATAGTTTCTTTCACCCTGATAACCCCTGTCACCTAGCAGTAAATCGGTACCTGGGAGATAGACAGCTGCTACAGGCTACTTCATGGGGATGTGTAACAAAAAGGTGGCCAGGTCGAGGACCAGGCCGCGGGGAAGCTAAGCCCCGAAATCATCTCAAGACGATACCCACCAACCATTCACAACCTTTTCTCACACGGTTTACAAATAACCTCAATATAGTCTTCACTTTACTCCAAAACTGTGAGAACCTTAAAATACATATAAGTCCAAAAACATCAACACAACTGGAAGACACCATTCCAATGTCAGTCAGTCAGTTAGAGTCAAAGTCAGTCTCTCTCTCTCTCTCTCTCTCTCTCTCTCTCTCTCTCTCTCTCTCTCTCTCTCTCTCTCTCTCTCTCTCTCTCTCTCTCTCTCTCACTCTCTATCTCTCTCTCTCTCTCTCTCTCTCTCTCTCTCTCTCTCTCTCTCTCTCTCTCTCTCTCTCTCTCTCTCTCTCTCTCTCTCTCTCTCTCTCTCTCTCTCTCACTCTCTCACTCTCTCTCTCTCTCTCTCTCTCTCTCTCTCTCTCTCTCTCTCTCTCTCTCTCTCTCTCTCTCTCTCTCTCTCTCTCTCTCTCTCTCTCTCTCACTCTCCACTCTCTCTCTCTCTCTCTCTCTCTCTCTCTCTCTCTCTCTCTCTCTCTCTCTCTCTATCTCTCTCTCTCTCTCTCTTATCACTCTCTCTCTCCTCTCTCTCTCTCTCTCTCTCTCTCTCTCTCTCTCTCTCTCTCTCTCTCTCTCTCTCTCTCTCTCTCTCTCTCTCTCTCACTCTCTCTCTCCTCTCTCTTCTCTCTCTCTCTCTCTCTCTCTCTCTCTCTCTCTCTCTCACTCTCTCTCTCTCTCTCTCTCTCTCTCTCTCTCTCTCTCTCTCTCTCTCTCTCTCTCTCTCTCTCTCTCACTCTCTCTCTCTCTCTCAGAATGTAACTCACTTGTGTTGCCGCACGACATAGATGCGCAGTTGGAACTCCGGCAATGTTTGAAAGCCACTTCATATGGACCAAAGTGACTTTCGCCAGGTATGTCATAACCCCACAGGGTCAGGTTCTTGTTCATTAGGGTCATGCGACAGTCTGAAGGGGGAGACGGGATGAAGGATTACAATGGTGAATGGAACTAGAGTTGCTGGATATTGAGGGGAACCAAGACGTGAGGAAGAAGGAAGGAATCATATGGGTAAAGTGGAAGGTATATCATGGGTTGAAAGTTTAATATTTTCCTTGTTAAGACAACAATATGATTTTTCAAATTTTGCAAAACGAAGATAGTGCATAAGACAGGAACATAGGAAACAAAATATCATCAATATTAGAAGAGGACGAGATGATCAATATGTTAAATAGCTGTTTCTTATATCTTTATTATGGAAGACCTCTAAAATTTATCTGGGATAGAAGATGTTGTTAAAAATCACATTATGCAATATACGCTGAAAAAGGATGAGAGGCAGAAACCAATAAACCCCCCCCCCCTTCTTAACAGGTGGAAAGAGTGGAAAGAGACGCTTATGGGAATATTGGGCCAGTTCCAAATTCAATTATTAATCAAAACATAAATTATTCTGCATACAATTCACAGACGCAGAACAATTCCACTTTTGATTGATTTAATTAGAAAGGGGATCATTATGCTACCCCTCGCTCTATATTCATAATGGATGATAGAATACCTGTATACTTGCTATATCAATACTCCTGTTATATCTATATCAAATGTTATGCCTCTCTCTCTCTCTCTCTCTCTTACATTATTACTAATAACACAATATAAGTGCCAGAATGTCTACATAATTAATGACACAAAAATAAATTGTTCACCTTCGGTTTCAAATGTGTGGAAGGAGGATGGTTGATCTTTGGTTTTGAAAAAAAAAGAAGTTAATGGTAACATGGCCGGAGTATGAATAGTAGAAAATTTCTGGTAATTTTCCCAAGATCAGTAAATAATTATTACTATATAACATTTATTATTAATACTACTATGAAATATATAAATTGTTTGGAAATTCTTAATATAAAAATATTTGCAAACAAAATAATAGTTTCACTTTCAATTCAAACCTGTGGGAGGGTGATTGGTCTTTCTTCGACTGAAAGATGCATTGGGAGCAGTGGACGCTGTGTTAAGTTACATGTTTTATGGTAATATGCCAAAAGTATGAATAGCTGAAAATCTCAGTCAATTTTGTGAAGATCAGTGAATTATTGTGATCAATACCTTCTTCATAGATCACTAATAAAAGTGATTATTACAAATCACTGTTACAAGGTCCTCCTCCAATTTCTCCCCAATGCCAGCATTAAGAGAATCTGCAGGGTCAGCAGATGCTGACGCTGCAGATTCCCTGAGATGCAGGGAGTCTTTTGGCATATGATATGAAGCGACCGAATTGGTTATCTAATTAGGGAGAAAATTGTATTTATAAGATTATAGAAAAGGGGGGAGGGTCACGCTCCTGGTAATACAAAATGGCGACCCCTGCCTACAAATCCGCTCTTTTGTGGGCGACGCCAGCCAGCTGGGGATTGGTTGGCCGAGGTCACGTGACACGGCACACCAATCAGGGTCTGTCATGACGTCACCTAGAAACCTGGCTCGGCGCTGTTGGAAGGCGTCGTGCTTAGCTGATATGACTTAGGACGTGCATCAAAGAGCTCTCAAGGTTGGAGGCTCTGAGAGCCTTGCTCAGTGGATTATAAGCAACCATCACACTCTATAATTATCGCTGAAGACACTGTGCTCCTGAGGAGCACGAAGAAGCCAGGTTTAGTGGGCAAAGAAGTACTAAGAACTTGAGGATATCGGTCGGCGAAGACTCGGGAATGCAGGCCTGGTGCCCATGAGTCTTGCTTGGTGTGACAAGCAAGACTCATGGTGTGACAAGCATCTGCTGAGACGTTGGAGGGAAGGCACCGTTTCCAGATCCAGGAGAGAACGTTGAAGGAACGTGTGTATACAGTGACAGGCTCAGTGATCACTGGTTGAACCTGTATTGGAATATCTGAACTCTAGGGAGTGGTACGATGACGACGAGATTACTTCACGACATCTGAGGCCTTACAACACGCTACTGGATTGCCAAGGAGCGACCTGGGACCCGTGGGAACCCTCACACCATCAGAGGACAGCCATCGTGGACAGGAGTTATTAAGGTGGATTATATTTCCCTCCCATAACCCCTCTTGCTGATTAGGCAAGATAGGCCAGTAGACATATATATATGACATTAGAATTATTATTATTATATTAGTATTAGGATAGGCTGTAGGGCAGCCAGCATTCTACTGTTTGGAGAAGACAACGTAGGGACGACGTGGCAGTTGGTGAGGCAGCGGTCGACGTTGATGAAGTGGCCCCCCTCGAGAGGATGATGATGATGATGAAGATTAAGCCACCCAAAAGATGGCACGGGCATGAATAGCCCGTAAGTGGTGGCCCTTTTGAGCCATTACCAGTATCAAGAGCTGATACTGGAGATCTGTGGAGATGCGACTGCACCCTACGTGACTGGAGATGTCTCCCGTGCCTCGAGAGGATGCGAGTCCCCCCATTTAAATCTGCCCAGCTGACGGAGTTGCCGGAGGTCGTGAGAGGAGAGCTGCAGACGGCCTCCAGAACATTTATTTATATATCCATTCATGTACTATTTCTATATATGTGTTCATGTAGCTTTTCGTTAGTAAATTTCATATAATTGTACTGACGTGTTTGAGTGCGCCTCCATATATCTCTATGAACATACACGAGTGATATTATAGACCCCACATATGAACAATAACATTATATATGAAAATGTCCTAATGGCTGGCAGAGTTAGAGCAACACAGATATGTGTGGACACGTACCCTAGGCTGGCAATCCTGTTTTGGCACCGTAAGTGTAAACAACGCTGACAGCTGGGTGGACAGCACTTCGGGTTCGTGGTCCTGAGGTTCTGGTTTGATCCCTGGTGGAGGTGGAGACAAATGGGCAAAATGTTTCTTTCACCCTGATGCCCCTGTTACCTAGCATTAAATAGGTACCTGGGAGTTAGACTGCTGCTACGGGCTGCTTCGTGGGGGTGTAACATAAAGAAGGCCTGGTTGAGGACCGGGCTATGGGGACGCTAAGCCCAGAAGTCAATCATCTCTCAAGATAACACGTACTCTGTCAGGAAACATAGTGCATAACCACTGTACTGCACTGCTGGGGTGCAGAGTTATTAACCCAGCTGGCAACCTTATGAATAGCTGAGAAAACACAGGTGTGGAAGGAGCTGTGATCCCTTTTGTTACGGTGGGCAAGACTCAGAGGAAGTGCTGTTGAAGGTAAATCTGAGTCTTTCTTCACTCTTCCGAGGGGCAAAGCTGGAATTGCTGGTAGTAGTTCCCCCATGGTTGACTGAAGGGCTCCCAGAGTGATCAGTGGCACCCAGGTGGTGGAATCAGATGCCTGCGGTGGTGGCATTACGTGGTCCTCACCTTAGGGACCGATAGACTCTGGTGAGTTACATGAGTAAGACAGACTGACTTTTCCTTGAACCTCTAGCAGCCCCCTAGCCAACTATGTAACAAAATTGGCGATCTTGACAGGATCCGTTCATCGAGTTACAGTGTTGCCAGGATACGTTCATCGAGCTGCAGTGTTGCCAGGACTCGTTCATCGAGTTACAGTGTTTCCAGGGTCCGTTAACGAGAGACAGTGTTGCTAGAAACTCAGTGATAGTGTTCCCCCAGCTAATGCAAGGACTGGAATAGTGAAATTAGTTTGGTGTTGTCGTGTATGCTCAGTGACGTAGAGAGGGACGACTACAAGGTGAATATAGTCGTTGAGACTAGGGATGAGAGCGTGTTAGAGGAGTCCACCAAGGTACAACTCCAACTTGTAGCAAACCCATTTGGCATCCACCTGAGGACGTCCAAGGTAGCGGAGCGTCGGCTGGAGTTTATGTCGCACATCAAGGCTCGAGAAGAACTCACCGGAGAAGAGCCGTCCCAGGCACCTGCCAGTGTGAGAAGATCCCGTAGTGAGAGGAACTACGAGATCACACATGAGGAACACAAATGCGAACAAGCCTGAATGGTCCTCAGGACTATATGCAACTGAAAACTCACACTCCAGAAGTGACTCGAACCCATACTGCCAGGAGCAATGTAACTGGTATGTACAGGACGCCTTAATCCACTTGACTTAATCCAATTAATCCCATTTCTGTTCCTCACGTGTGCCCCAAAGAATGAGGTGATTTGATGAAATGCTATGCCCAAGAGTACCATCAGAGTGCCGGCGGGTTGATGAGCTAAATAGTCTCAGCTATCATCAGTTTTTGTCCGGTTGTGATGGTCAAATGCATTAAGGCGTCCTGTTCATACCAGTTGCGTTGCTCCTGACAGTATGGGTTCGAGTCACTTTTGGGGTGTGAGTTTTCAGTTGCATATATTCGTGGGGACCATTCAGGCTAGTTCACATTTGTGTTCCTCACGAGTGCCCCAAAGAATGAGGTGATTTGATAAAATGCTATGCCCAAGATTACCATCAGAGTGCCGGCGGGCTGATGGGCTAAATAGCCTCAGCTACCATCAGTTTTTGTCCAGTCGTGATGGTCAAGTGGATTAAGGCATCCTGTACATACCAGTTTCGTTGCTCCTGGCAGTATGGGTTCGAGTCACTTCTGGGGTGTGAGTTTTCAGTTATATATATGTATATATATGTATATATATATATATATATATATATATATATATATATATATATATATATATATATATATATATATATATATATATATATATATATATATATATATATATATATATATATATATATATATATATATATTAGTATATTTTGGTAGCAGTCTTTCCTGTAGACATATATATATAAATATGACCGAAAAAGTAAGATTAATAATTCTAACACGAATTTCCTCGATCTTTCGTACGTTTCTTTTCACTGTTGGTGGTAATTCAAAAATCAATTCTCCAAAATTCATTTTTATTTCTAGTCTGACGCGACACTTGAGCGCGTTTCGTAAAACTTATTACATTTTCAAAGACTTTAGTTTACACATACACAACTGAAT